GATTTTAGATATTTCACTACTTTCAATATTTTGGTTTCCCGTTTGGTAGTTTCTGGATTTAAGTTATCAAGTAAAGCTTACATTGGTTTGAAAACACCTTCCGGGTATACTTATCCACAGAAAAAAAATTGTGCAACCATATTTCTTGATTTCTGCCTACTATGAGTCATATAGAGTCAACTTTTTCTCTGTATGCATAAGAATATGGGATTGACATGAATACCATACAATTTGTATATATTTATATGTCCAACACCGAAATTATAATATTTACAAACATATGATCTAGCAATATGTTGGAATCCATCATTGAAGTTAATCATGGCAGCCATATGATGCTGCTTGATTTTTTTGTTTTTTTGTGGAGATTCGGAGAGTAATGGTGTTTGAGTAGCTAGGATGGCTCTTGTCTTTGAGGATAACCGCTACTTATTTGAGTCACTAGTAGAAAATTGGTTGGTAGATATGTTTTTGATGGAACAAAGAGGAATCTGAGCTTCTGATTGCCCACTTTTTTGTATCTTCAAGAAACCACAAGAGCCCTTAAAGTGTATAGATCATTGCAACTTAGCGGAAGATGAAATCTGTCTTAGTTTAATTTAAGGTGTTGAATGATCTGTATATTTATATACCAAAGGATGATGGTAGCATGAACGCCAAGTTCTGTATAAGTACATGAGTAATAACTCACCCACCAAAGAAAACTTATTTGTTTATGAGCCGGTTGGTGTTTGCTTTCTCATTTTTGTTTGGTTGTAATTTTTTTAAATTTTTTTTAATTTTCATGGGGAGAATCATATTTTTATAGAAAAGAACTATTAGAATGTGTTATTCATTTTCTCAAAAATGAAAAATAGGGGATTTTCATACATTCCATTGAATTCTTATAAATTTATTTATCTAAACTCTAAATCTGTCTTGGTTTAATTTCAGGCATTGAATGATTGTATAATGATATACCAAATAAAGATGGTGTCTTGAACTCCATGCTCTATATAAGTACATGAGTAATCTGTCACCCAATAAAGAAAACTCCTTTGTCTATGAGTCGGTTTGTGTTTGCTTTCTCGTTTTTGTTTGGTTGCAATTTTAATTTTTATTTTTAGAATTGTCATGCTCATCTAAACTTTCATATTTGCATATATAACACTCAAATCATAAATATCACATCAAATATAGCATTATTTTCATTTTTTAAAAGTGAAATATAACATTTGCATAGGTACAAAAGTCACAAAGACAGGTCTTTATATTTGTAATTGTGTATACAAATATACTACTTCTAATTATATTTTATTTATTTTTAATATTGCATTATTACATCATTATTGCATCATTTAGGCCATATTTATTTTGTCATCCGGTTCAACCCCGATAGAACCAATAAACCTTGAACATTTCATTCTTCCGGTTTGATATCCGGTCTAATTTTCACAATCTTACTCACAAGGTAAATGCAAAGCTTGTAATAAAAGTAGTAATGTGTGTGTGTGTGTGTGTGTGTGTGTGTGTGTGTGTGTCCACTATACAATACAAAAAAGTGTTTAACTTTTTATTTATTTATAAACATTTTATTTTTTGAATTATATATATATATATATATATATATATAAAGAATGAAATATGATCACTACTTTTTAAGAATGCAGAAAAGCAAGCTAAATGTTTGTGCCCTGATCCCTGTTGGGACAAAAGAGCCGGCTACATACTTCTGTCATGGGCCATGATATGATCCTTGCATACGGGTCTCTAGCACCCAAATGTGATCCCTAACCTTGTGCCAAACGATCCTTGTATTGGAGAAGCATATTTAAGCAATGACATAATCTAATGGCAAAACAAAGAGCTAAATAGTTTATTATTTTTTTTATGAAAATGAGAATGTAAAGTTATGTTATGCTGTTAGTGATCAAATATTGAATTACATGCAAACGAAAAATTTACTTTATGCCGGATGATATGGAGGCTTTGTGTAAACATTGTGAACGCTATGAAATAAATCTTTCTTGTAATGAAATTATTTACTATGCTAATCTAGGCATTACTTTTTCAGCTTTATGGTCATTCCTCTTATGTACATTCACTTTCTGGGTATGTATAAGGGGAAATAAACTGAACAAGGTTTGTGAAAGAAGTTGATAGTGGATGTTTAATCTCAAATTGTTGAAGATTTTAATTGTTACAACAACAACAACAACAATAAGCCTTTATCCCACTAAGTGGGGTCAGCTGCATGAGGAACTTAATTGTTAATGTAAATAAAATCATGAATCATGAAGCATATTATAGGATTTTTTAAAAAAAAGAAAAAATTATGGTTGTTTAATCGTTATTAAATATATGAAACAAAATGTGCTGCTTCATCATTTGGAAATGTTTAGTTATAATGTCAATATCACGGTGTTGACGATGTTAAGAGATTTATTAAATGGATTAATGATCAAAATTGATAAGTGTTGATAGCAAGATGGAAATAAGATTTATGTTTGCCCATCGCAATTTAGTCTAGTACATTGCATTGTAATTAGGGCTGCCAAAACCGCTCGTTGTTCACAAACAACTCGTGATTGATTCATTAAGTAGCTTGTGTTCGATTCGTTCGCTAAGCAAACGAGTCGAACACAAATATTTTTTTTGCGCTCGATATATAAACGAGCCGAACACGAAAAAAGTTTAGTTCGTTCATGTTCACCTCGTTTCAGCAAATAATTATATATGTGTGTGTGTGCGTGTGTGTGTGTGTGTCCGTGTGTGTGTGTGTCCGTGTGTCCGTGTGTGCGTGTGTGTATATATATATAATGAGTATTATTTTTAAATAATTTAATTGACAACAATGCTACAAAGATTTACAAATAGAATAAAAATATATTTAAATCTATTTAAATGAAGATTGTAATATAAATAATAAGATTTAAATCTCACCCAACCCTTAGCATCCTATGGCTGTGTGATTAGAGTTGTCAAAATAATTCTTTGTTCGCGAATGACTTGTGTTCGGCTTGATAAGCGAGTCAAACGCAAACAAATTTTTTGCGCTCGATATATAAATGAGCTGAACATGGTCAATGATATTTTTTAACAAGTCGAGTCTAGACTTGCTCAAGCTCGGCTCGTTTACACTTCTAACGGTTGCATGTATGACTAAGGTTGTCAAAATGGTTTTTTGTTCGTGAACAACTCATTTTTGGCTCACTAAGCAACGAGCCAAACACGAGCAAATTTTTTATGTTCGAAATATAAACGAGTCGAATATGAACAGTGGTATTTTTTAACGAGCTGAGCATGAGTTAAGTCCAGACTTGCTCGTGTTCGGCTCGTTTACACCCCTAATTGTAATGAATATGTTCTGCACACGGCACACATACTAAACCATCCTAAGAAATTACTCTGCCAATGATTATTGCCTTCCAAATGAGGGTTTTAAAGTAACAAAGAAAAATAAAAGGACTCCCAAATTGAAAAAATATACTCACACCAATAAAAGGAGACGGAAAGATGGGGAGCTATTCCAAACAAAGTCAACCTAAACCATAATAATCTGATTCAGATCAAGATCCACACAATCCACTTTTATAAGTCTAGAGACTTAGCAAACCACTACCTCAAATCCATTTTTGTTTTCGTCCATGATCAAATGCAAAATCAAGTAGGTAAATGAAGGCTATTATAACTAACCACCAAACATACCCAAATAAGAGCTAAGAAAATGGATGGATTCCTTATTTCTTATTCTTACACATCTAAAGATTTTAAATACTTAACAAATCCCCTTTCATATTGCCATCTAGGAAGCCCGGATCTCCTAAAGAGGAAAACAATTTAGCTGTCATTTGGTTCATTATTATTTAGATGTAAATGTCATTAATATGTTAGTGTTTGATCTGGAATTTATACTTAAATACTATAATGACCTAACTTATGATAGTGTGTGACTTAAAAGATGTCAATAACATCTCTAAATGTAACCCAATTCAGTCATGATGTGGGAAAATTGTAAACTAATCTGGCATGAACATAGAATACTATAGGAAGAATGAAATATAAACATGATTGGAAAATTATGATGATTGCATCAACAAGGTTTAAATTTACTATAAGTGAGCAAGAAAGAAAAATGCAACAACTATAAAGCACAAATACAATAATAAATACATAATGAGTGAGATGAACCAAGTCTAATTATGTCAATCACCCTACATGTCTAATTGTATGAAAGTAAAGAAGAACAAAAATTATGAATGATCTAACCAATTATAGATTAGAGACAACTGGTCATTGAGTGGAGATAAATTGAAGTCAACCACTGTGAATAGTCTATCATCACAGCAATCTACATAGAAGTCCTCTTCTCAGGATTGTAGTCTCACACCCGCAAATAGCCCTTCACTTATAATGGTAAACACAAAAAGAAGGATAGAAAACTCAAGAAGCAATACTTCACTCAATATCATAGCCTTCAAATACAAAACAAGATTAGAGCATTTGCAATCAAGAACAAGAGGTAGCCTACCAGCCGAAAAGAGAAAAAGGATGTTCATGAAATGGGGTGAGGTCGCAAAAATCCAGCTGTTTAATTTGTTCGTGTGTTTCATTTTAATGATGTTTGCGTTCGGCAGAGATAAAGATATCGTTATCTAATGACACATTATTTTTTTTCAGAAAAAAATTTAATTCAAATACACTGCAAACCATACTGTTTTTTAAGATGAAATTACATTACATTAATACACATGAACCAAATCAGAAGAGTTTGAGTCTCCTCGGTCGAAAGACAGTAATAAAATTCCGGAAATGGTTTTACGAGCAAAACACTAACTGCTTAAAGTTTGGGGCCTTTTAATTTTGGAAATATAACTAATAGGAAATGGTTTTACGAGCAAAGCACTAACTGCTTAAGGGTTAGTTTGGGGCCTTTTAATTTTGGAAATATAACTAATCACCGTTGCCCTAAACAGAAAATTGAGCGCTTTTTTAAGGGATAAGATTGGATAATGAAGTACCTTCTCGAGAAAGCTAGAACGCCTCGTGCCTGGAGCGTCTAGGCATTTCTTTCTCCGCTTAGGGTTTGGTGACGGCGAAGAAGGTGATAGATCCTTTTCTATCCCCTCTTTGGGTGCATCCCCTTGCTTCTGGAATGATCTCCGACGTTTCGCATGCCTGTATCTGTGTTTTCCGTTCATCATCCCTGCGCCTTTCATAATACCGGACAAGCGCGGCTAGCTTCACTCGAGGGAAAGTTTTCTGTCCGGGAAGACGTAGCGCGTGCTTCGAATATACTGTCAAATATCGCCCCAGCTTAAAAAAAATTAAATTAGTCAAAACGGTTCGTTGTTCGCTTATGTTCAGTTCCGTTAATTTTATTCGATAAATTAACACGAATTAAGATGTATTCGTTTGTGTTCGGCTCATTTTAGCCCGAAATACTACTTTTA